GCTTTTGTCGTCTTCGCTGAAGCCCAGTCAAAACGTACATGTTGAGGACATGGAGGGAACCATTATCAACTTGAGTTGCAATTAATAAAAAGATGACAACCCTCCTGCCTGCAGGACAAAAGGATGCAGCTCTGTGGTTGGTCCAAGTGGTGCGAGTGAGCCCGCCCACCTTTTCCTGCCTCCCCACACAAAGCAGCCAAGGTGACATTGAAGGATGGCTGAGGTAGGGTCATGGTTATTGCCACCACCATTCAATTCCTCGTACACTCCCTTCCGCACCTGCAAGCAATCGACATGAGATGATGAGATACGGCGTGCCCAATCAACACCAAGATGCCGTCTCCCTCCCACTTGCACTCAGCCATCCACATCCACTTGCATAATCCGCGGCGGGAGACCCCAAAACCCCATTGCGCATCAATTTTGCGAGATCGCCGATTGATTGAATTTCACGTCCGCGTCGCTTGTCTCGGATGTTCCTTGTCTCTGATGTGTAATCCCAACTGGTCTCTTTGCATTCCACCGAGCAAGGCCATTGTGCGGAGGACAAGGGACATTCCATTGTCATCTGTGAGGATGGCAGTCAATGCAAGTAGTAGCCTCTGCATATGCCAGCTGAAGAGGCAAGCCCCCGGAAAAGGAAGTCCCGAACCAGCAAGCTGCGATGTTCTTTGTTCTGAGCTGCCAGTCCGTGATAGAACCAATGTGAGCCTCTTGAATTGCAAATATGTTTACTTTCAGCATGTCATCGAGCAAAACCTTCCCTTTGGTGCTATTTCATCATGTCACCGAAAGAGCAATCTCTTGATGTCGATAAGCCCGAGAACATCGGCCCTTCCGCGATTGACCCCAGAGGCTTAGCACCTGCATGGGCAGAGAATCGGACAGACCTGATTGAGAGCCTTCCTTTTTTCAGGCAAGCGCAACAGGGGGTGTATCAACACGACAAGGTAATCCTGGGAGCATTACTCGATGGCTATGGGGGGGAACATAGCTACTTCGACGACGATATCGTCATCACCAAACTGGATGGTGGCGGCGACATCAGCATCGACGCTTACATGAGACATTCGACTTCCAGACTGGAGGCGGCACAAAAAGCAAAGGACAAGCAGAGTTCCATTGGACTGATAATCGGTAAACCTCTACCTAGCCCTAGAGTCCCTGGCCATTTCAGATGATCACTCAAGCTAACCGAATTTCTCAACGACCTTATGTTTAGGATCCAACGCCAGCAACCCCAGCTTTCGTATAGAACCGCCCAAACCATGCAGATATGCGGTTTTGGGAGAGTACATTCTCACTGACCTCTGGCATGAATACCAAGACGGTGGAGATAGCACCGTTACCGTGGCCCGGTATCAGAGACGAAGATTCCTTGACCTACCATGGTGGAAGTCCCATGCTATGAACGCCACTCACTATCGGGATCAAAAAAAACGACAGGTGCAACTGGTCAGCTCTGGGCAGAGCATCCGTAGCAAAGTATGCGAAGCTTGTGAGGAGGAATCCCCAAAGAGATACAAGGTCTGGGTATGTGCGAATCCAAGATGCGAGAAATTCTCGACAATGGAAAACGGAGAGGCGCTCTCCAAGGATGTAAAATTCTCTGCACATTGGCTGTTGGAGCGGGTCGATTGTACGGGCGGGACTGGTCTTGACTTTGGGCCCAGTCGTCTCAAACGCCCAACGCAACCAGCAGACATGCGCAAGGGTTCGGTATGCCCAAAGTGTAGAAAATGCGTATCACGCTTTCATTGGGGTTCTTGGATATGCGAGGGTCCATATGGATGCGGTCATAGGGTCTTGCTGCCTGTCAAAATACCCGATCTCTCCAGTTTACTTGAAGAGCGGCCAAAAGTCTTTACCCAGTCCAGGCATCCCTTCCACCGTCTCCACGATCGACAAAATCTCCAACGGGAATTCGTCAGCCAGGGGACCACGTTTATCGAGTACCAGCATGGGATGCCTGGTGGAAACATGATCACGCTGCTCAAGTCACGGCCTCCTCGAACAGCCACCCCGGGCACGATGTTTGATGACCTGTTCAACAGCATCACCTGGGAAGCAAATCATGGGAGCTATCTTGACCTACAGCGCTATTCGGCGCAGAATAGGGTCACAGGATCCAGAATCAACCGATACGAAATCAGTTTTGGAGAGAAGGAGCTGGATGGCTTACCCCCGAGAATGGCGTTGGAAAATGCACCTGCATCAGTACAAGCTGTACTCGAGATGCTGGTAGAACTGTTGAAAGAGCATGTTCAGACGAATGATACTAAAACGTCAGGAAAATCAGAAGACCCCTGGATTTTAACGGTCACGGCGTATGTGGGAGGTGAACAGAAGGAGGGTTTCAAACCCGCTGAATACAACACCCAGGGAGATGTGACAGCGACCATGTGCTTGGGAAGCCCGGCAAGGGTCAGGTGGCGATACAGCCCGATTCACTGGAATCACAGCCAGACAGGGAAGGTCCTGGAGGGTTCGCCACTACCTGATACAAAGCACTTCGAAGCCGTAAAACAACTTAAAAAACGCAAACTATCTCTTGGCGAATATGAGAAGAAGAGACTGGAGATTCTGGAGGGATCCGATGCCCCATCAACGCGTCGAAATGAAGCGCCGCCCACCTACTTGACCGCCGAGCTGACACATGGTGACATCTTGATCACACAAGGTGAATCAATAGGGTCATTCTTTGACTCGACCGTAGAGCCACAAGGGCTGTTGCACATTCGTGTCACTGCATTTAGGGCGCAGGATGACAACGATGGTGAGAGAGGTAGGGGCAGCATGCAGTTGCGACGAAGTACGTCTCGAAGCCGGTCCAGGAGAGCTTCCTCAACTCGAGCAGCACCAAATCAGAGGGCATCTTCGAGAAAGAGAAGAAACTCGGTGTCCAGAGAATCAACACTGGGTACACGGAGCTCTTCGAGAGGACGTGGAGATTCTCGCAATCATGCACCAGAAAGCGCCATAGCTAGGGAGAACGAAGCCCCTCGGTCAAAACAAGCTCGCCGAGAAACCAGATCTCCCACCCAAGGGCCACACCGAAGGAGTAAAAGTAGGTCGCCGGAGCTTTTAAAAAGGCCCAAAGCAAACACGAGGGCTGCAGCAAAGGAGGCAAGAGAGGCAAGTGAACAGTTAAAAAGAAGGTGTAAGTTTACTAACACTTCTGCTGTAGAAGGTAAAAACACAACTGAGACGGTCCGTATCGCGATCTTCGTCGAAAGTGTCCACAGAATCGTCCTCCGATGATGAACAACAGACATCAGGCAAGCCAAAGAAGAGTGATTCAACGATCAGACGGGTTCCAACACCCATAACGGCACCCACACCTAGGTCAATTCTTAAACGGACTGTCAATTCAACACCCAAGACAGCGTCGAAGGTACCACCGAGAACAACAGAAGAAGACGCTGCACGAATCCAGAAGTCCGAGACTTCTGCGGCAGAGAATCGACATCTTTCCGGTCGAAGGTTTGTGTACCAAACCCCTGCAAAATCAACCGTAACTTCATCAGTAGTTACTGGCCTGGAATACATCGAGACGCTCCCATGTTCACGTCTTCCCAGCACCGAACCCGTGGCCGAGTCCGTGACTGAAACCAACTCCCCCAAAATCCAGAAAAGGTCCCAGCCATACTTCTCGCTGCCAAGAAGACAAAATCCACCACGCCCCCAGCTACGCTCAACACAGGGCCCTTCTTATGATGTTTCAGCACTCGGTGTGCCCGTCCCTCCCAGCTATCGGCCGCAGTCAGGCCCGCCACAAGAAGATGATAGCGCCGACAGCCACGCCAGCACCGGGGAGAACACACCCTCTCCTGACCTAGACTACAAGCTCCCTCCTAAAGGTCCACCAAATCCATACGTTCTGCGAATGCCGCGAGAAGCAAGAGGCAGTATAGGAGGCGTGGTCAGCAGCTTCACGAAGCCTCGGCCATCCTCCTTAAGTCTCTATCGCCGTCATCATGGCCAAACAAAACCACAGGAACAAGAACAGACGAGAGAGGGTGCCTCTGTCTCAACAATGCCAGTAATCACAGAACTCGATGATCCCACCCCACACCCCGAAGCCACCAGCAACAAAAGCAACACCAGTATCCCCGACAACTCAACGTCCCGTCGTCCATCATCGCTAAGATCTAGCAACAGCCAGCGATCCCTTCCTCCAGATCAACAACCCGGGCAACTTCTCCTTGAAAACCCGCCCCCTCCCGACCCAACAGTCAGCTCCAACATCCTCAGCCCTTCCAGCAGCAACACGCCCCCTCAACAAGTCCACACCCAAACCAGAAGAACAAGCACCGGTATCCCACCCAGCAGTCCATCCCTCAACCGTAAGCGTTCGTTATCCTCCTCCTTACGCCAAGAACTTCAAGAGAAAACCCCAGAAGTAATATCCCTCTCGTCCTCCTCCCAGTCGACCCCAGAACCGCAGCAGCGCGGAGAGAAACAGGAAGGCTCAGAGTCTTCATCCGACGACGATAACGGTGCCTCGTACAGGGTGCCGGTCGCAGCTCCCATAACTCCGGAAAGCAGGCGGAGTAGTTCGACGTCGGGTAGGCAACGGTTCGGAAGCGTTATCGGCGTGGCAGAGGGTCCGGCGCGTGGAGATAGTGCTGTGAGCTTGGGTAAAAGGCGGTTGAGCAGCGCCAGTGGGGCCAGTGTGTCTTGGCTGGAGGAGGCAGACGATGACGGCGAGGAGGAGACGGGGGATAAAAAGAGGCGGAGGAGAAGTGGTGGCAAGAAGGTTCAGGTTGCGCCGTCGAGGTCGCTGTGGAGGAGGCTGTGGGGGTCGTGAGATCTGGAAGTAGGAGTTAGCAGGTTTGAGAAGACATGGTTGAGATTTTCCGAGATGTTGTAATCTGGTGGTTCTAGATGAACTAATGATGGTGGTGGCGATGAGGATAGGGAATAGGTGGAAGTTCAGTTGAGGTTAAAATGCAAAAGAAAAGAAAAGAAAAAAAAGAAGAACTGTCAGTTACCCAAGCCAGCCTGCACCGGATTCGAACCGGTACCATGTCACAGAGGCCCAATCGATTCGAACTTTAGAACCACTTCTCAGTTTTACTCGCCCGCAGATTCAATAATGTGTGACCATCGTGAATCGAACGTGTGTGTTTATGCAAGCGAGCGTGATCCCCGAAAGTGGTTTGATTCGTGAATCGAACGTGTGTGTTTATGCAAGCGAGCGTGATCCCCGAAAGTGGTTTGATTCCATATTTAACGCGTTTCACGTATGCTACCAATTACACCAACAGGCCCAACTTTGGCACCTCCAGTTTGATTTGACAGTTTGGATGTCCAGAAAGGTGGACTACATGCTCCGGGGCCACGGGTGGCAGGAGCGTCTGGGCTAATCAACCTGTCGAGAGTGCCCAGGGCAACTGCCACTGGCACACTGGTCACTCACCTGGCAGAGGCGGCGACAGCTGCCGTCCCGCAACAAAAATTCAGAACATGTTCCCGGCTGTGTGGTGTAATAAGGTAAGGTCAGGTCTCTCATGCATAGGCCAAGTCACGTCACCACCCGTCTAGCAGATATTGGGGGTAAAAATAGAATTGTCCACCAATTGCCTAATACTTCACTACTCTAATTCACAAGTATACTGACATTATCTCCAAGTCTTACCATGCCCGCTGAATATGTCATGACCTTTGCCGCACATAAAACAAAACACTATAAGTGCTCTAACATCCCCCACCATCCAACTAACGAAAACGCCTTTTTGCATTGTTGTTTCCTCCATGTGTGGCCTTGAACGAAGCCCGTTGGTGGACGGATGCCAACACTTGGGCATTTTGCTGCCTTATCATGGCATTGGCTCGTAGCTGTCTCCTTTGACTCTTTGAAAGCTTGACATTCTTCGTCGTCCTTCCTTCTTTTTTGATCTTGGAATGAAGTCTATCAGCAATTGAATCCCGCATGTCCATCGATTTCTGCCGTTGGCAGACATCAACATCAGGCTGTGACCATAAACCAGCCAGGTTATCGGCCAACTTATGCCCATCGGTTGCACAACGTGGCATCCAATTCAGCTCAACGGAACAACCGAGCTGATGCAGCTTGTGTGACTGAAAGATGATTGCCTTGACGAGTGGACGTGTGTGCGCATAATAGAACGAACTGTGACCTGGATCAACACCTAAACCAATCCGATCTAGCGAATTTGCCGAATCACTGAACACCATGATCCTGTATGGCGCGTATTTGTTCTTTGAAACAAGTTGTATCGCCTTGGCGAGAGACTGGCTGATTCCAGATAGCTCCATGTGCTGCACAGAGTACGCCTTGTCGACGTAGAATCCCTTACTCTTGGAAGACGGCAGGTTTGAAGTAATGTCATCGTCTATATCAGACCGCCAGACAATGCCGTAACCGCCAGGCCTCCCCTGACGAGCAGAATCCTGCTGAGAGAGCATGGACCCGTCGCACCAAAACGCCATCTGCAGCTCTCCGCCAATCATCCCGGGCCCAATCTCAGCCTCCTAGGCCTTTCGAGTCGCATTCTCAGGGTCATCGTGGAAGATCTTGCCAATGAAGGCTCGGGTTTCGGCATCCCAGAGATCATCATCCGGATTCTGGGGCTGAGGCGGTGGGGATCTTGGAGAGCCAAGAGTCGGGGATGATGACAGAAACACATCATGGCCATCTACTTTTTGACATATTAGCGGTGTTCCAATAGAGTCTCTAAATCTATCGTATTTTCCAATCACTTACCCTGAGTGACACCACCCGCCTTCTCTCTATGTCCACCAATATCTTGCGGGGCTCTACCGCGCTCTTTCACGGAGACAGATACAAAAGCCTGGGGGCGATCGTGCTAGTAAGTTGTTGTTAGAGTCTGATGTTGACTGACACAATGGTTGGAGCCGAATCTTACTACATCGACGGCGGTGTTGTCGCCCTCGTCATCGCTGTCATCTTCGGCCGTCAAGTCAATGATGACAACAGCTGGTGGGTGCTCCTCACCCTGTTCCTGGTCAGGGTCCGAATCATCATCTCCCGTGAGGTCGATGATTTCAAGCACCAGGTTAGGTTGCATGTCGGTTTGGCTCTCGCCAACCGACTCCAACTCTTCGTCGCCCGTCAAGTCGATGATAAGATCGAACTTGCTCTCGGTATCAGACATTTGGAATTTGCTAATCTGAAAAAATGCCCAAAATAGTTTAGTTGGACTGTCGAACTGCAAGAAGGTCGACGGGGTGCCGAGAGAAGAGAGGTTGGGGAGAGAGGGGGAAGACAATTCTTAGCACTAAATAGAGGACGGCAGATTAACGAGAGAAAAGCGGGAAAAGACCAAAAGAACGACAATTTTGAACCCGTATGAAGGTATAGAACCCAATAGTTACATTAATAGTATTAATTTATCTATAGAATAAAAGAGAATATTCAAACGAGCGTAGGAAAGTTAATATTTATATATAAATTAAGTAGTGGAAAAGACTAAAGGCCGAAGCCGCGCTCGAAAAAGCTTTAGAATTTAGACCTTTAAATTAAATATCTTAACTACTATTATCTTCTATTTTAAAAACTAATACTAATATTAATAGTTTAGCCCTTTAAAGTTCTTATAAACTTTAAAATTTAAATTAACTTTACTTTTCTATATACTTTTTTAACTAATAAATATTATATAACGTACATTATAAGCGAGCGACCAATATAAGCGAGCGACCACTTTTTCACAACCTTTATACCATTATCCTCAATTACTACACAACAATACTAGGAAGCAACCATAATTACATCCGAAATAACTGAATCAGACAATTCTACAGCCTCCTAGCAAGTACGTGCATTATGGCCAAGCTTACCGCACACACTACAGCACCGAACCTTCGTATAAGCCCCCCCTATACCACTACCATCCGGCTACGTTTCTTGCACTCCCTCTCTACCCACAGCCTTCTTATCCAGTAGATCGTGTGCATCCTGCACAGTAAGTGATCCTCCGAGCCGCACACGTGTTTTTTTGGCTCTCCGGCGCTTACTTAGTACCTCGTTGGCCTTGCAGAGTAAAGTGTTCTCTACACGTAGGAGAGCCACCTAGTGCATCACAGCCATTATACTCTTAGCAAGCTGGTCCACAGCAGCTAACATTAAAGTCGAGGAGCTATTTTAATAGTTAGTAATGCAAGTCTTAATAAGCGTTAACTGCGAATTAGCTTCTCGGGGGTTGTATAGTATCTGGAAGACCCAAGGTTATAGTGTCACGAATATGATGTGGATACCCGAGGAGAACAACCAATGGGAAAGAGGAGGCACGGTAGCCAATTAAAGGAAAGGAGGATAGACCAATAGGAAGAGGATTATCCGGGACACGAGGAATCATAAATGATTCCTGGGAATCATTATAATCCTCGGGAGTTAGCCATAATTCTCGAAGGATAGAATGATCCGGGTTTTGGCAATAGGTCTATATATACGGAGGAACTAGATAGCTTATAGATAGTTCCGCAGTATATAATTACAGTTTGTATTTACGGGATCTTGTATTTACATTGAGACATCTTATTATATATTGTTTAGCTACACCGAACTAATCGTCAGAAATTACCTTTAACCGAGTATCCCTTTCAGAGGTTCTATATAGGGGTTCGTTATACATTATATACTTACTTCAATTCTATTATCGGATAAATTAAAAGCGCTAAGTTAAATGCTATAACCGGAAATACTAACACTTAACCTACTATCGACTAACTCCTTACTTATATTTAGGAGCTCGAAGATAAGTCGCGCCTTTCTTACGACGTACTTGCGTAGGAGAACGATATACTCTATAAGGAAATCGGTACTTTACGTAAAGAAGGAGATCGCGTTAAGCTCGAGGCTTCCGATTATTATAGAGGAGCTAAAGGAGAGCTAGGGGGATTTTTAATCTAACTTAAAGTATATTTTCGGTACTACCCTTCCCGTTTTTCGGACGAAAAGTCTAAGGTAGTATATACTGTATTTAGGCTTAAGGATAAGGCCCTTACCTAGTTCGAACTAATCCTAAGAGACTACTTCGATAATAAGTACGACGAAAGGGAGGATATTACTAAGAAGTGTTTTAAAATATATAAGGGATTTAAAGAGAAGATTAAAGAGGTATTCGGAAAATATAATAAAGGTAGGCGTACCTAGGAGCGACTAGTTAACCTTAAGTAAACTAGATCTATTATCGACTATACTATAGTATTTAGGACGGATATATTCTGTAATAAAATTAACGACGAAAGGTTAATATAGTTATTTTATAACGGGCTTAAGGAAGAAGTTAAGGATAAACTATACTAATAGGAGCGACCGGAGATTATCGACGAGTATATCGTAATAGCGGTCTGTATCGACGATCGGCAATATTAGCGCCGTAAGAAGTGTAAGGGTATACGTATATAAGGACTTTACCGGCCTAACGATAAGAAAAAGAGACGGCCTTATGGGATTTACGTTTTAAGGATTATTTACGTAAGGCCTATAGAAGTAGACGTAATTTAAAAATGGTTTAAAGGAAAGAACGACGTTAAGTGCTTTAATTACGGGAAGATAGGTTACTTTAAGAGAGACTACTAATTATCTAAATAGTTTAGTTAGAAAGAAAGAAAAACGGCGGTAGTAACTAAAACTACGTAGGTTATCGAGATCTTTAATACCGAGTATATTTACGAGGATTTTCGGGATTTAACGGACGATTATACCGATAGCGACTATAAATATAAAGCTTAAGAAAGAGAGTTAATAGTTAATTCCGAAGGGGAAGATTATATTATAAGATAAAAGTTACTAATTAAAAGGGCTATAAAATTAAAAGAAAGTACTGTTTTAGGGCCCTTTAAGGAGACTATACGGCGATTAAAGTAGGGTTTTACTTTAATTAACGCCTCGGTTTAAGATATAGAAAAGACTATAAGGCGGGTAAAGGAGTAAGTTTAAAAACTCGAGGAGGTAATAGTAAAGCTTTAAGAATAGCGAGAAGTTATTAAACGGTAATACTATAACCTCGAGGATAAGGTAACGTAAGTTACTAATAATAATTAGCCGACTATATAGTTATAGCAAGGAAACGAGTATTAGATTATCCCCGAAAAGGAGTTTAATAATAAATTTGTAATATTCTTTACGGGCGAAAAGACCTAGGGTAAATATTAAGTATTATAATCGACGATTAATACCGGGCTTACGTAAATATTAAGAGAATATCTAATATTCGGATAGTATACCTATTACGAAGAGGATACTCCGCAGGTCCATTTACGATACCCGGAGTATAGGAAG